ATCAGTTTCTAAAATCTTCTCAAGCCCTTCATATATGTTAAATATTTCTGTACTTCAATTTTTTCATGTGTTGAAACCCATTTTCTCAACTGTCATGAATATTTGACACATCCGAGGTAATGCTAATTTGTAGGCAATTGGTCCAATCTTTTCTATAATTTCAAAAGGCCCAATGTTCTTGAGACTCAGCTTGCTTCCTTGACCAAAACTAGTTGTACTTACTTTTCAATGGTCTGACTTCTAAAAATACGAATCTCCAACTTCAAATTCTATTACTTTGTGCTTTGGGTCGTAATATTTATGTTGTCGATCCTAAGCACTTTTCAATCTATCTCTGATTAGTCTGATTTTCTTTGTAGCTTCATCAACTAAATCTGGACATAACATTTGACATTCACCTAATTCAACCCAACTCAATGAAATTCTGCATTTTCTGCCAAAAACTATTTCATAAGCCATTTTGATGCTGGAGTGATAGTTATTGTTGAGGTGAACTCTATCATTGAAATGTGATCTTCCCAACTACCTCCAAAGTTGAGAACACAAATCCTTAACAAATCTTTCACTACCGGAATTGTTCTTTCTAATTTTCTACCAGTTTGTGGATGAAATGCAATGTTAAAATACAATTACGTGCTCAAACATTGTTGAATGTCTTTCCACAACCTGGACTTGAATCTTCCATCTCTATCAAAAAAGATAACTTTTAGAATGCCATACAATCTGATAATTTCTTTTACATACAATCTAACTAATTTTTCCACTGAAATTGGCAAAAAATGAGTGAACTTTCTTAGCCTATCAATAATAACTCAAATATTGTCGTGACCCTGTCTGGATTGCGAAAATCTCATAACGAAATCCATAGCAATTTCTTCTCATTTTCATTCAGGTATCGTCAACAATTAGAGCAATCCGCTGAGTCTCTGATATTCAACTTTCACAATCTGACAAGTCTAACATTGAGGTCATATTCAACAACATCCTTCTTTATACCTGGTCACCATAATGCAAAGTTCAAATCATTGTACATTTTTGTACTGTATGGATGAGCTTTATAAAAACTTTCCCGTCTCAAATTAGAATTAGCAAGTATTCAAAACTACAATTTATTTATGATAATCTCATCTTCATCCAATGTCATGTCAGACATCTTTCCTGATTTAAATTGTTTTAGAAGTTTCAGATATCACTGCTAACTTTTTTGAGCTACTTTAACTCTATCAATTAACGTTTGTTGCACTGCCAACTGATATAAATACCCACTGTCTTTTGATCTTCTAACTTTCAACTGTAAGGCATCAATTTCTTTAATCAACTCGGCCTCTAAATGATAATACAACTTGCAATGCTAGTGTATTTATAGCTCAAAGCATCGACAACAACATTAGCTCGGCCAGAACAGTATTGTATATCCAGCTCATACTCTTTACTCAACTCTAACCATCTTCTTGCATCAAATTTAGTTCTTTTTGTATGAAAACGTACTTCGAACTTTGATGGTCAGTGAATACCTTGCATTTCACGCCATACAATTAATATCATCATATCTTGATAGCAATAACTACAATAGCTAACTCCAAGTCATGCGTCAGATAGTTCCTCTCATGTGGCATCAACTGTCTGGATGCATAAGCTATCACATTTCTATCCTTCATTAAAACACATCTAATGCTTTAGAATGACGCATCACTGTAAATCTGAACTCCTGTGTTTGATGTAAGAGCTAACACTGGAGCAGTGGTCACATGTTCCTTCAATTCTTGAAAAAGCTATGCTCACATTCTACAGTCCACTTAAAACAGACATCTTTTCTCATCAGCTTGGATAACGACATAGTTATTTGCAAAAAATCTTTTGGCAAACCACCTCTAATATCCTGCCAAACCGAGAAAACTGCGTACCACTGTAATATTCCTTGGAGTAGGCCATTCCATAATTACTTTCACCTTCTAACTCACACTCTATTCCTTGGGTGTGTGATTCAAGGACAAATCACAATCCAACATTTATCTTTGTAAAGTATGCAACAAAAAAAGAATGAAGGATGAAGTGACAATTCTTTAACTTTCAGCCATCAAATCCCTTCAATATATGTGAAGACCCTTGCATCAAATCGACAAAATCAAGCATGCACCTAAAGGTGCAATCAAGATAATACAGTAGAGCTTAGAACACACCTAAAAAGCTACAATCAAACTCAAGGAATCATACCACCTAATTCCAACCATTAGACAAGCATAACTCATAGTTCAAAGACACAATCCATCCTTCCAATACTCTTAAAAGAAAAATGGTCTAGGATGGATCTCAAAGGTAACATGTATCATTTCTTAATCAATCGAATGATAAACATAACCCTCAATCTAAAGAATTTTCATTCAACAAAATCTTGAAGACAAAAGTATCTACTCCATTCACCTTCCATCCCCACTAAAACACAAAACTACACTCCATCTTATGATTTATAAATACACCCCCGACCCCGCCACAAACCCTTTAATGGAAAGGTGAAATAAGTTTTAAAAGCTTGAAAATCATTTTAATTTTGTAAATTCCCATGAAAAACATTTGATTGTGCTCCCAATTCTAGTCATCAAGTTGAGCGTCAAAATATCTTTCTAGAAAAACAATCCTTAAAAGATTTGTTTTTTTCCTTGATTCTGTGTGTGCAATTAGTGACCGATTGTTTAGAACTACATACCATAAATACTACTAATTTTCAATTGTTTCATGCACGCTATAGATTTACATCATCTATGCGAAATTTTTCCTCTCGCATTGACCATAGTTAACTTGCAATCATCATAAAAAAAACTTAAAACTTACAATCTAAATTTCAATTGCATTAATGGCAAACCAACCCAATATGTGCATTAGGGTATCCACCTTCAACCTCGAGAAACCAATCAACAAATCAAGTATGGTGCAAACGAGCTCCACCACCCACCTTTTTTAGAAGGAGAAAAATATGAATGTTGATGGGCTTCGAAGATATTGTGCCTCATGAACTCACAATATGAGATCCCTCGTATCCTTCATGAGTTTTACCAATTGGGGTCATCTTAGCACAAACCCATTGGATCTTCTAGCTTCCCTCTCAACCCGATACATCTCAAAAATCAACATTTCAATAGCACTCAAATAGTGGCATCCAACATCAAGCTGAAACTCCACTGACACCTCACCTAGCAAGGATTTTCTCAACAACACTAGCTTGACTCATCTACTTTTATAGGCACGAAAATTTGCATTCCTAAAATTATAATGAGTTAACCTCTGCTGAGATTGACGGTGTTCCCCATGATCTCCTCAAGATGAATTGCAA